GCTGCATCTGGACTGATGTCAGATGAGTAAAATAGTCAATTCGAGCCTAAAGTCCAGGCGAAGTACACAAACCGCCATGTTTTGTTGTGTTAGTTTTCTGGTCATGCTGTATAAACCTCTGCTAATTCGATAATACTGGGCATCCCCGACCAATCAGCGATCGCGTAATAAAATATGATAATTTATAGGAATAATGGGCGGTCTTCAGAGACCGCTGATCTTTGAAATCGACTTGCGGACTTGTTCCGATTTACTACACATCAGTCTTTCGAAACGAGTAAAAAATATAATTTGCTGATGAAAAGAAACGAATATATATATCTACACTATCAAGATACTGTCATATTATGTAACCTAATCAAATTGCGTATTAGTACATGAAGATGGCAGCACCATCCAACAATGGACATCACTATCACTATTATTATTATATATTGTTGTTGTTTAAATGCCCTATTAGTATTATATATCGTATTCCATTTATTATTAAGAATACCTTAGAATGCACATCACCAAATTGCACCATCCCCCCTATAAAAACGTCCTCACATCCGAGTCATTCCCTTTGCTACGACAGAAATCCTGGACCAGTGCCTACTGACCAGGACCAGTGCTTCCTCAGAGGCACTGGTCCTGCTGGGCCAGTGCCTCCAATTATCACTTTTTCACCCTGCAAAGTATTTAAAACAAGAGAACAAATGCCATACATGATACACCATTTGTAAATGTTTTGTTTTGTTTTACGATCGGTAGATAATTAATGTTTTTGACGTGTTTTTCAAGAAAAAAACATAGGCTTATTACTCATTAATATAAAATATAATATCATTATAATTGTAATTATTAATCTAAATGTGTTATTTTCATCTTAATATTAAAGTTACGAGAGGATCTGGGCTCTCGTAATGTTAAGAGGATATTTGCGAGGATTTTTCATTCTCGTAACTTTTCGATGATTCTGTCAACGGTTTACGAGTGGAAGTTAATGTTATGACTAATGTTAAGACTAATTTTGTTTCTGACAATGGGCCCCTGGTACATGTACAGTAAGAATGCATTTTACCCTTAATGTGCTGATAAATCCAGAAATGCTCGTTCGCTCTTAGAGAACAAGATAAGCATTGGTAAATAAATGTAGTCACGCATGTACACGTTGTTTGCTTGTGCTACAGTAGCCTTTCAGCCTTTCAGACCCTCAGATGTACGCTGCTGGAAACACTCTTGTACGGCACACATTTTTAGAGTACGGGCACATTATTTTGCCTGCCTTCCTCCCCCAGCTAGATGCAGACTGGCCATGCATCTTACAGTTGCTTTAAGGGGATGCTAATCTGTATTGATCATTGACCATTTCATAAGAAGTGCTTACACCTAAGTAAATTCTCCTCAGATCAGATTACATCATCAGATTTTCATGTCAGACCTAACTAATTTACATAAAATATATAACTTAATGGATATATAATAATTATTACCCCATCATGTTCATGACGAGAATCTAAAGAGGATGTCAATCTATATACCCTACATATAAATCTGTATGTGCTCCCCACGCTACATATGGGGGTGACCTTTCTAATGCACAGATAGGCATTCTGTTTCAAGACAGATCTATTATCATCCTCCAGCAAGTGTACGCAGCCACCGGTATGATGAGAAAATGTTCGTGTACAGTTAGTCAGCCGGGCAGCTATAGTAAGAAACATCTGTTGCTGAACCGCAAGTGCTCGGGCACACGTACAACCATGTACGGACCAGGGCAACTATTTTGGAAACATGACCAGCCGCTACGCGCTTCTCTCCTTCACGCACATACCTACCTCAACATTCAACCACAATGCATTGAATATTGTGTAGAGAGCAATTTTTATAAGGGGAATGTATTTTTGGTGCATGGGTGACCTTTACAGGGAAATAACTGCAGCAGGTCATGTTAGATAGTATAGAGCCTGGGAGTAGTTACCATGTATGCGTTTAGGAATATATATATATATTCGTCCGTCGGAACGACGAAGACCATCTAGTCATCCTGGGGTTTGACGTCAGGTTTTGTGGGTGCGAAGGTGACTGGTTAGGCCAATCCAGCCCAATCCGCGTTTAGGAATAACAGTGACAGTGAAAGCCGATGCACCAAAGCCTTGAATAATTAAAAACATAGAAGAGGAAAATTTCCTACTGGACAAAATTGAATAAACTTTCTCATAAATGCCACTAGATTTACGAAGCTGCTAGATTGCTCATTGTTGACGAAAAGCCGAGATTTGATAATTATGTCCCTGCGGCTGATATCGGATGATCAGATAATAGAGACAGTAACGAGCAACACTTCTGCCTCTAACAAAACTTTTGTGCAAAATCTAGAAGACTGAATGGCCTTAGGTCTCGTCCCAACCAGCCGGCTTAGTTAGACGTTACTTTAAAAAAAAGACCTGACCGACACACAAATTCAAACCCACTGGCAAAACACACACACAAAGCATTAAGTAAAACGTACACAAAACGAAAAATCCTATATATTGATTTTCTTCCCACTGCCAGCAAGTTTTACTTCCCTTTTACTGCGTGAGCCTGAATGGACCCAACCATATACACTGCATGTGTCTGATGATCACCTTTCACTACATTGCCTAATATTCATAAGCAGCTAGTTGAGTATATAGGGCCTGCGATTGGGCAAGTGCCAGATGTGACCACGCAGAGGTCGAAGAGGGAAGTTTCCATATATATATACATTTATAAGGGGTACAATCACGAGAGACAGGATGCGAGAAAGGTACAAGAAGGAGGAAGGTAGAGGGCGGAGAAGGGAGATAGTACACTCTCAGCACCCACCGCAGGTTGCACTTCTGTATTGTTACTGTATGTATGTCGTAACATATATATATATATATATACAATAAACGCATAGATATATTTTATATTCGGCACCTTGGACCATCACTGCTTGCCTGTTGCCAGGAATGAACATCCCTACACTAATTAACAAAAGATGCCTTTATTTTAATTAAGGAATACTGGAACGACTAAATGAAGCTACTAACTGTATATAGATCTATATATATATATATGTGAATAGCACTGAATACCAGTATAGGGGATGCCAGACAGTATTTTGTAAAATGTGAAAAATCAATATTGGCTGTAGATCTTAGACATACACTTGCGTGCCTGCGCGTGCCGCCCCTGGTTGTCTGTGTCTGCAGACAATAACCTATCACTCAGCCTTGTACTAGATATATATAGGCGCAGGCCGAAGCCCTGCCAGGGCGGACAAAAACACAGTTCTGTGTTTCTAAGATTCTAAGCAGAAGAAAACATCGGCAGCAATCCATAAAAATCAAAAGCACATGCACGCATCAGCCCGTGATGAATTAGGTCGTGTTCGTGTTCGTTAGGATGTATGCAGTGTTAAATGCACTGCCGTTATTATCAGCTCGTGAGATGCTGTAGTAGTAGAAGACACTCTGTCACACGCACGCACGCACGCACGCACACACACACACACCCACGCACTGCTGACATACGTGCGTATTGCTGCGGCTGTACTACGGAAGTGAACAGCTCATCGACACTAGTTAGACTAGTTAGCATACATGGTTCTGCGCAGTGTCGCATACAGACACAACGCACACCCGCGTACCCGTGCGTAAGGACGAATGTCACTGTCAGAGAAACCTAACACCAAATTTAAATGATTGCAAACTGATCTTCACTCTAATGAGCCTAATGTGGTTTGAACGTAATTTCAGTACGTTGTTCTAGATGACCATGTATCAGTTGAAACACTGAATGAGTAGGAACAATCACCAAGACGACAAGGAGTGTGTGCGCATGGGCCGAACCAATCTGCCAAGCACTGCGATTACGGATATATAAGCATACTGCACTAGTACCAGAGGTGGCTATCACGCAGTTCAACTATTTAGAAGTAATTTAAGTGTTAACAAGTTACAGCTACAATAGAAGTGGTGCCTGTCACAGCATGGTTAAAGCCAAGAGTAGATAATAACACAAGAGTTACACACCTGATTCCCGCATTTTTAACCGATTTTTCTCATCAAAATTTGCCACCAATTGATATAGAAGCAAGTGTATACGTTCCTCAGCTTATTATGACCACTAATCACTCACCTTCGTGGTACTGATATTCGTTTACATATATTTGTTAGCGTATTGCTGTAAATCGTAATCTTGCACGAGCTGAATTTGCACAATTTACCGCTATTGTGTAGAGGTGTTAATCCAAAATTTGAAGCCATAGTGGCGCCAATATTTAGCAACGGACTGTTTCCAAATCATTCGTGCCCCGATAGGGTTGAGAGACAATCTAAATTTCGAATTTTGATCTCGTGAGGAACCGCGAGACGCGCTCAGTTATTGTGATCGCAACACAAGAAATTGACATACTATCTTACATTTAAGTAATAATACAATAATAACAATATTCTCTGTAGTAGTTTGCAGCAAGTATCACATTACGCACGCACAGGTAATTAAGTACATTAAAGGATCACTTGTGATAATGGTCCATCGCCGTTTTTTTGCGGTGCGCAAAAACAGGAAAAAAGTTGTGGCGGGCTGCAACATGTGTTTGTCGCGGCGCACCACCATTTTTTATAAAGCATACATGTATGTAAAATAAACATAAGTATACATTTGTGGCCTTTTATTGTTCGCTGCAATCAAAGTACATCAACAACTATGGCAAATTTAGTAATTTACTGATCTAAATTTTAAAATATGGCTGAAAAATGACTTTCTGGACTCTTAACGGGACACCGGGACCAGCATGTCGCACCAGGACGATCCCGGTGAGACAGGGACACTTGGGACGTCTGTATAACAGGTTAGAACATCATTCACAGTACTTACAGTTACAATTAACAGAATTCAACTGTACAGAAGTGACGCTATAAGTTATAACACGAATCAGCTACACAGGGAAGGTGTTATTACAAGGTTCAACTGAACAGATGTGGCGCTATCGACTACAAACTTACCGATTGTACATATCAGGCCAGACTTTCGCATAAGATGCGGTGGCGAGTCGATATCGAGAGCAGCAATGTGCTCAAGGTGGGTCACCTGGTCGGCAGCTTGCTGCTGCTGCTCCTGGAGCAAGTAGTCTTCAGCCTCCAGCACCAGCCGCGAGCCGCTGGGGAAGCTGGCGATCCGCCGCTGAAACAGAGCAAGCATCGAGCGATCTGATGATAAATATATGCAAACCTGTACGTCGTCACCTTTCCAACTTGTCACTTTACCTACTCCTCAACTTGCACCTTAACCATCTCCTTGTCGTCATCCACGTTGTCTCCTTCTTCTCAACCTCACCTATCTGCTGCTTCTTTTTGTCCCTATCTGTCACATTGCCATTATCATCCTCAGATCTCTCATTTGTCTCCTACTCCTACTCCAAATCTGTCTCCTACTCCCAGTGACTTTAATTTTCTCCCCTTTCTTTCTACACATGTATTACACATATCTATCGCTGCTTGACTCTTACACTACAGTACCATCGACATTTTCCTACTTCAACACCTCTGACATTTCTACCCTTAGTCTAGTGACTCGAATATAGTTTTCTTTTTATATTTCTGTACTTATTTTACTTCTACTATTGTAATAGAAAGACACGACCTTCCCTGCATGTGCCATTCAACTTTACCTTGTGTAAGAAAAAGTGTAACACTGGTAATCTGCCTAATGAATTTGGAAACAGGTATGGACCACAAACAACGATTATCAACACCTATAGGCAAGCATGCAGCAGTGTCAGCTGATCACAGCCCAAAATAGTAGCAGAGCAACGTGAGTCCAGACTGGCATAATCCTTCCCAGGTTCATTCTCGTTCCTTTCTTGATTACAGTCCAAGTTTTTAGATCTCAATAATACATGTTTTTGGTTTCAAGCACGCTTCTCTCACAGCACAGACATTCTAGTGTAATGAAAGAAGAAACCTTGAATTAAATATTCGCTTCTAAATTCTATGTGTAGTATAAGATACTAAACAAACAAATAAGTGCAATTTGGTTACTGTCGTGGGTAAGGTGGCAGAGTAAGCAGCAATGTAAACACGTGGGTGTTATACATATGAGGCAAGAGTCCATAATAGGAAAATCCATTTTCTATTATGGACTCTTGTCATGGTCTTGATATGAGACCATTCCTCACTCACGTGTATGTTCGCAAACTGTTCAGCAATGTAACACAATTATAAAGCAATGCCAATTAAAGTGGCTCTAAATGAAGAATCGCCCACAAAAACTAATAAATAATATCTCGTTTTATCGTTCCAGATTACTATGAGTTTTGGCTGAATGCTTAGTTTATGGAAATTTCAGACATTACTAGAAAGTTTACATCTCAATTTAATCAACCAAGACGACAACAGATGTCGATTCATTACGTCGAACAGAATTACTTTGCACGCTCATAAACATTATCAATGCAGGGGAATGCACATGGACAATTAAACAGCATTACTTCACACATACCTAAAGAATCATCCAGATATCCAACCACTGCTACCACAGGCACATTGGAACTTCTCAATATATAAAAAATTATGGTAAATAAACACGAAATGTATATTTTTACACAAAATGTTTCTCTACTCTCTTCCGCCTATTATTTCCGATAATTTCCTTATCCTATAAGAGTTTATCCTTTATGCTTTACTCTTTATCTTTATTCTTGCTGTTTGTGCACAACGGCGTGCGTGCGATGTACTTGTGTGTTGCAGAGGAGCATTTGAAGAGCGTTTACAAATTACAGGAAATTATCAGCAATAATAGCTGAAAGAGAGTACTTTGGTAGTAAATACATTTCGTTTATTTACCATTATTTTTCTCTTAGGCTCTGGCCTTCGAGACTCGACCGTTGCCTGTTACATTAAATACTACAACCACGCCTTGTGACAACAAAGTGTGGCTGCTGTAATTTCCAAGGTTTGCTTCGTCGGCTACTGCAGAAAAATGCCATGCGGCATCTGCCTGCCTTCGTGGGAAATCTAGAAAATCGCAGCTCAGTAAGTACACATTTAAGCAAGTAGCACAAGAGCGCGCAGATGCGAACAGCAGAAAACAAGCAAGCATCGAGGCAGACGACGCCGTGCACTCCCCCCGTTTTTGCACCCTAACGGAAAAAGCCACAAGTTCACGTGCATATACTGGCATGATGCTATAGTGCCATCGAGGATTAGATGTAGCATAGACTGTAGCACGTCTACTTTCTACGTCCACAGTGCCAGATAGCAAACTTGGCATAGAAACTGCCGAGTGTTTCAATGAAGTCTAAAATCGATGTTGTTGGGGATTTGCTTGGCAGCTTAGTTTTAACGACGATTTTGTTTCCTCGCCAACACTTATCAGCGCTCAAACACAACTCAGCCCTGAACCATCCATCCTTGAAATATTTCTCGTTCAGCTGCAGTGATTCGACCACACATTCAGCACCCTAACAGAATTTCGTGACAATTTTATTCACTGTTTTTAAATGTGCATTAACTTGATTTGACCTGCACCCACGAGGACCCTTGGCTAACGATTCATCGCAGCTGGGTCGGGTCACTGCAGACGAGCAATCTAATGGCTTCATGGTTAACAGCAGGGCTTCAAATTCACATATATTAGACATGCAATGCACAGCCATGCAGATCAAGTGCTGACGGACAGACATCGGCCAAGCTTCACCAACAATTACACGCCCAAATACACCAGTTGTGGCCCTGCACTGAAATTACGTGATACGAGCTTGTTACGGCTACTAGCATTTCACGGCCATTACTGCCTAGTCACTGCTATAGTGACTGTTTTTATTCCCTAGAAACACGTTCATAAATAAATAATTTCTAACGAAAATTCTGCGTGTTCATCCAGTATTGACAATTTTATACCCTCATGTATTGATCCTAATATTATAAGCGGCCAACCATCTTCCATATATAATATATGCTCTGCCAGTACGAGTTCTAGTAAGTTTGTAAGGTTTTATAAATCCCCCATCATGGTACCACGATGGCAGTGGTTTCACAAAGCTAAAACAAACCCTTACACTCACACATATAAATCATAAAAGACAGCGAACACTTTTATATTGGATACTTCAAACCATGGGTTAGTAACTACCAAGAGAAGAGTACGTTGTTCGCACTTTGAGTAAAACAGAACTTTGTATTTGACATTGAAAAACTATGCAGAGGCACATATTCCCATACAGCGATTATATCAAGGCTTTAGTTGCACAGCAAACCTGTAGCAAGGCTCCACACTAACTTTTTTTTTCAGTGGCCCGATCAGGCCACCAAAATCATCGATTTTCAATTTTTGGTGGCCCGAAAATGAAATCTGGTGGCCCGAAAAAAAAACGCTTGTATCGCAAAAAGTATCGCGCGTAAGCTAATATCATTAAATTGTTTAAAAGCCTAAAATTACCTTTAAATCGCTCTTTCACAAGGCATAAAATAAAAAAAATAAAATGTTTTCCTCAAAATTCATCATTTGAGATTTGAATCGATAAAAAGGGGAATTTTTTTGTTCATGTGCAAAAATTACCCCCTTATGAAAATGGACTGTTCCAAAATATGTGACTGCACGTCGCATACACGACTTTCAAACACTGGCAGTTTCGCTTCAGATCCGAAACAGTGCACGTGCGCACATGGATATATGCATTATTTTGTACAGCCTGCATGCATGCAGCTAGAGCTAGAGCTCCAGCGCAGCTAGCTAGCAATATACATTACATACAGTGCAGTAGCGTAGTGCAAATTGCGACCGGTGCGGTGTCTGCTGATTTGTGTTCATTTGATCACGCTCGCTCTGCAAATTGCTCGCTCTCTTTTGAATGAGATTAGTAGGGGTGAGTATTGCGACCAAAAATCGTATTGCAATATATTGCAATGCGACAAAACCGTATTGCAATATTTTCCAATACGTATTGGGAAGTGTATACCATGCATGATATAGTAACAATTTGATGGTTTATCATCATATATTGTATTATTATGTAATTTGCATTTGTAATTGCCATACATCAGCTTTTGCCCTTTTATTGGGGATAATTTCAAACAAATCGTCTGCTACAGGCGCTGCCATTTTGGCTGCCTCGTTGTGATATTAGATCGACTCTAGACTGATTTCACGTGTTCAAGAACCAGTGCGCTCGACCGAGCGCGCCAGCACAGTAAAATAGTCTCTCGCGCGGGCAGCGAAATTTTTTTCCCCACGAGAGTTCCGGACCCACCACAGATAGTGTTTTGTAATATATGGTGTCTATATAAGACGGACCTGGTTGGATTATAGTTAGTGTTAGGGTTAGGGTTAGGGTGTATAAATTTTACATTGTTGCTTCGAGGAAGTCGAGTGAAATGGAGTGCGCCGATTGGCTGGGGTCCGGAACTCTCGTGGGAAAAAAAATTTCGCGCGCGGGCACTCAGGCGAGCATAGGCTATATATAGACTCCCTGGTTGACGTGCTCGCTCACACCATAGATAGATACATGTGTGTTGTATATATCTATGCTCACACGTCTGCCCGCGCAGTAGTACCATAGGTAGTACCGTGCAGTGCTCCATGCATTGGTCGCTTACAAATTTTAGTGGCACGATCGGGCCACCAAATTTTAACTTTTTGAAATTTTTGTGGCCCCGAGCCTTGCCTGTAGCATACATATATACGCCTAGGGAGAGCGCGAAACGGGCATTACACATAATAATAATGTAGTACTAGTCTTCGTTCACTTTTTCTTTCATACTGTTTGATTCTCTTTATGTTAAAGCATTCACAAGTTGTACGCACAATACCTCTCCACTCCTGTCTGTTGTCTACAACATTCCTCCACTGATCAAGAACATTACCACACCTCAGAGCACCTTTGCAGGTATCCTTATATCTAAATTTAGGGCAACCAACAGATCGGGATCCATTTGCTAGCTAGCTCGCTGTATAGGAGTGCCTTTGCTGGTCTGTCATTATCCATTCTACAGACGTGGCCAAACCAACGCAGACGACTTCTAACTAGCTTCAACTCGATGTCTCCAACACCCGCTCTGTTCAGGACCTCCTCGTTACTGATGTAATGATCCCACTTAATATGCATGATTAAGTGCAGGTAACGTTGTTGTATTGTTCTCAGTTGTCAAACTTGATGATGGTACAGAGTCCAGGTTTCACTGCCG